GACAACTCCTAACATGAAGAGCAGAGAAGCCAACTAAAAACCATTGGCCAAATGAAATTACCAGACCCAAATTTTACATGAGCAGTGGAGTCTCCAGACACAGTAGTGTTCAGTTCCAGCCAGCACTTAAAGCCAGAGACACAAGTTCCTCAGGGAAGCAATCCCATGCAATGAGGACAGCTGGCTTCCAAACTTCACTCATTGCTCAGGGATAAATGTGTACCTAGTGCAATCACCAAATACTTCTGATTAACATTTTTAGCTACATCTGCTTTCTGCAGTAAAAACCTCGGAGGTGGGCTATCTCTCCCTGGAGCAAGAGCACAGTTCAGCTCAGGCAGTACAAGTAACTTTGAATTGTCTTGTCTCAATAACAAAGTATTTTAAATGCATGCACATGGCCATGCAGTAACTCCTACCTTTCCTTCTCATCACTACTGCTGGGAATTGTCCTCTCCTTCCAAGGAAAAAGAGGAAGAATGACAGCAAGTGCCAACCACAGCTGAGCACGGACACCATCCTCTTCACAGAGGCTGGGGGGTTATCCTGATGCCAGGGCCCTGACCCACTGGGAAAGACAGGCTGTGTTTCTTGCTTTACCCCCTGGAGTTTGACCTCCACTCCTTATCTGCTGTCCCAGGCACCTGCCTGCTTTGCCCAGGAGTAAAGCCAGGTTTGAGGAACAGCCTGCAATAGCTATTCCACATCAGCCATACTGGTGGATACCAGTTCCACACTGCGAGAAACCGTGGAACTGCTCATGTATCAACGTATTTCACAGAAGATTCCCCTCACCAACACAGCTGATGGCTTTAGAGCAAAAGGTTGAGCTGGTTTTCCTGCTGGCAACTTACAAATTCTGTTGCAGTTTTCGTGTTTTTAAGTTTGTTGAGAAAACATGCAAGCATTCTCCACACAAATATTGTCAACAGCACTGAGCCCAGAGCACTGGAGAAATTACTTGTTTCTTTCATTACCAAAGAGCACAGGAAACATGTATGCGCCATCTTGACAACAACCAAAAATGTGGTGTCCCTTTTCCCCTTTTCTTTTTCAAAGCAATGGATTTTCTTTAAGTTACACACTTAGGAAAAATAAATCTTATGTGCTAGTAAAACTCTCCTCTGGGAAAGATGAAAAATAGGCATCAAAAACTTGTAGTTATGAGAAAAAAAACATGAGTACCACCAGACATATACAAATCACAAAGCAGATTTTGAAGGCAGGCTAACCACTGAAACTCAAAGGAGGACAAACTGATATTGAAATTATGGTCAAGAGAGCTGTCTGGGTAATTACTGTTTGCTGGATGGAGCAGCTGTTATTACTTACACTTCTATGTTATTCTGATGCACACTTAAATCTCCATTTTAACTTAAGAGCTCTCTGCTCTTATTTTCTGACAGCCCTCATTTATGTTACTGAGAGGAAAAAAAAAATACACTAGAATTCAAGCAGTTTTCAGAGACTCTAATAAACTCATATTGGCCCAAACTGAGCAGGCGCACCACATGCATTTCACACTGCAAACTGAGGAACAGGGCTTTGGAAGCCAAACCTATGGATAAACTCAAATGCATTTTTGTGGCATCTTCCCCTACTGTTTTCCCAACTGCTCACCTGCAATGGAGAGATAAAAGTCTTTAAAATCTTTGATCTCTCGGGAGCCTTCGCAGGCTGCTGAACAGTCATCGTAGGCTTTGAAGAAATTGGGAAGAGCCAGTTCCATGTCCGAGATGGATGTTCTCCAGTTGTCACCATTGTATGCTCTCACAGCCCTGACAAAGAGATTCTGAAAAATTGGCAGGAATGAAAACCAGCAGTAACGGATCTGTGGAAAGCTATGTGTAAATTCAAATGCAGTAAATGATGTCTCAGCCCTTCTGGATTACTGTATAAGGTGTTATCCAATTAATATTAGTGCAACAAATACTGATGACTAATGGATTTTACCAGGTATTTCCTAGAGAGTAGAGTACGTCATTCCATTTTAGATCAACAGAAAGAAACTGCTGGACAGTGTGATTCTAAAGCACAGGTTCTGATACAGATTTTCAATGGAGCCTTAACACCAAATGGACAAGTTGTTTTAAGTTGTACCACTACAGCACTTGTGCATTTTAATAACTCCATGCACCTGCTTAGGTCCAGCAGTGATCTGCATGTAGTAGCTTTCAGGTATGCCACTGTCTGTGATATAATGTGACTTATGGAGCACTGAAAGGTATGAGAGGTGAGAAATACTGAGTGCATCAAAAAAGCAGAGCAGATTTGATTGAGGGAGACTGCAGGAGGGAAAGGAGAGTAGGAGAAAAGAGAAGATGTAAGCAAATGAGGTCCTTGAATCTCACACAATAAGAGGAGTAATAGAACAGTTACAAAAGACCAGACTGTGAATAAAAAGCATACCTCATAAGGTTTTGTCTCCAAGTCTTTAATATGCTCCTCTGCATCAGGTATGCTCTTATAGTAGGCCATATTTCTTTGCATCATTTCATCTTCTGGATGCTTCAGGAGAAATGTGTGAGCTGCTGCAATAGCTTTTGGAAGGTTATTAGCCTAAACAGGGATGGGAAAAAGAGAAAGGGGAGAAAAAAGGTTAATTAAAAAAAAATTCAAAGTTTCCCAGTTCTTGTCAGTGAACTTTCCTGCAGCCTCTGTATTCATGAACTTATTTCTACTGAAACCATAGTCTCAGCAGATACAACGGTACAGTAAAACTCATCTAATTCTTCCCAGTTTTACTACTAGCTGCATCACTATATTTGGGGTTTTAATTTTACAAATCTATTATTTCTGCAGATAGCACTGATGATCATTGTATGTCTAAAAGAACTTTTTTCCTTTCCCCTTTCCCTGTTTGTAAAGCTGACAAGGCACAAGAGTATCCTGTTGCTCCCGTGTGGGATTAATCTCACAGCAATTACTGATGCTAACCTGTGGATACTGGGCAGGAGTCATCACTGATCATGTTTATGTGGTGTTTATTTTGTTTATTTGCCCAGCAGCATAGAAGAAAATATTACAGTAATGTATCTTCCTGATGGTGTTACCAAATTACAGCAAAGAACTTGCTCAATAACTGTGTCCTAATGTGCTATGTGATTTTCTGTACCCATTTTTAAACTAACTTTAAACCCTGTTAGAGATATTTTGTGAAGTATGTATTCCTCATGCATGTGCCAAATATGAATGTACTTCTATGTGCATGCATTTATATTTTTTATTTTATAAATACGTGTACTTTTATAAACTGTATAGTATATATACAAATATTTAGGAAGAGTGAAAATAAAAGCCTTAAGTATCTGTGAAATGTTAAAATCTTTTCCCTTGTAAGCCAAGATGCAGATCAACCCATTCAGCATACTGAAGTGGAGGCGATACAAAGTTGCACCTCACATCTGAAATACCTTATGGAAGTGTACATGTAAAACTCTGAGCAAGAATCACCAGTATGTATGAACACGCGCTCTTCTCTTTGCATCCATAAAAGGTGCCCTTTCATTTCAGAAAGGAACGTGGGAGATGACTGCTCCAAACCCTAATATGAGCTCTTGCTGCTGTGCCGCTATAAGCATCCCAGCGCTGGAACTCCGCCAGCTGCCCTTCCTGGCTGTCCCAAAACTATGCGCTTCCAGCCAGCCCAGCCCGTGCTAAACACAGAAGGCAATCCCAGCTGCACTTTCGTCAAATGCCTGATTTCTTTTGTGCTTTATGCTTTAGCCCTGTTTGCTGGTAGGCTGACAGGTCTCTCATTTTTGCTTAGTCCATAATTCACGCTGGGTTTCAATTTTCACCACTAAAAAAAAAAAAAGAAAAAGAATTTTGTAGAAAAGCATTCCTAAGTAAACTCAGTGGTTATGAGAAAGTTCCGTCCAGAGGAGCAAGCAGCAGCACAGAAACAGCTACTCCCAGGATCTAAGACGTGGCAAATCTTCACTGCTGAA